CACAAATTGGTACATATAGTTTGGAACTTTTGATTAGCTCTTTATATTCCTTGGCCTTTTTAAAAAAAAAGATAAGAAATACATTTTTATGAGAAAAAGTAAAATGTCAACCACAGTGCTTAGAACATGACCAGCAGTCAATATTTGTAAAATGCATATATGAGTGAACTATATTAATTTGCTCTGAGGTTGCAGTGGCTCTTGATTTTCTTTCTTGTAGGTGGTCTGTGGGAAAATGTCTCCACATCCCTTTCAAATTTCAGAATCCCCTCTGGGGTGTTTAAAAAATATCTTCTTTATAAAGCACAAACCCTTTGGGGTAGCATAGACCTAGAAGTCATTTACACTGTAGTATGAATTATGATAGCTTTGTGGTTCCCTCAGGATTCACAGGATACCTGGGAAGGAAGGGATGCTTTGGAGGGTGGGGAAGCAATCTGGAAGTCTGGGTTAGTGGGAATCTTTTTAAAATACTTGGGTTTCTGAGGCTTCAGGTTTTATGGAGGAAAGGGAAACATGAGAGGATTCATATNTACTTGGGTTTCTGAGGCTTCAGGTTTTATGGAGGAAAGGGAAACATGAGAGGATTCATATTCCTCTCCTAATGTTTTTGCCAGAGTGACGCCTGGGTAAAATCAAGCATACCTATTTGTTGCACTGAATTGACTCAGGAGGTTGCTGGTATCGAGCAGCATCCTGGGGAAGGTGGCCTTTCAGGGTGGGTGGACAGAGGCCTCTCCCTAAGCATGAGGGAAGACGGGAGAGCCCCCACCTCACCCTGTGCTTCTTCCTATTGTAACTTAGTGGTAATGAGGCTACTTCTGGGGATGTAGGAGAGTGGGGGGCTGGAGAGTAGAAGTGGGGAAGACTTACTTTTCATCGTTCACCCCTCGTGCTTTTGGAATTTTGTGCCCTCTGCATGTATAAACGATTTTCAAAAAGCAATTAAATAATAAAAAAAGAGGGGCTAAATAAGAGGTTTGTTTCCCTTTTGTGCACCCACCACCTCGAATGCTGAGTGTCTGCTGTGAGCTGGGCACCAGGGTACAGGGTGGGCAGGGCCCCTTATGGGGTGAATGGGCTGGTGGAGCCTCAGATACTCCATGGTGGCCTCAGACCCTACAAAGTTGATGTCAGGCACCCAGGCCTTACCCAGCAGGTCTGGACACATTGCTTAATATGTGAATGAACAGAAAATGGTCCTGAGTGAGAGCTCTGTGGCTGGCTTGGAGATGCCCTTGAAGTCCAGGGGAAGAAGGAGCCAGAACCTGTCCTGGGAGGGCCCAAGTGCCCGGAGGGGTAGGGTGGGGGACGGGGCTGACCATGTGGCCAGCCCAGGGGGAAGGTCTTCAAGACCAGGAGTTGTCATAAGGGAGCCATTGAAGGTGCTTGAGAGAGGAGGGTCAGTCAGGGTTATGACACTGACAAGGAGCTTGTCTCAAGATAAGCTTTGGGTCCCCTTGACTTGTCCAGGAGACCCCTAGAGACCTTACCTCCCAGCTGGGCAAACTCCCTGGGGTTTGCTGTGCCCAAGGGAGGCTGCCCTGACAGCTGCCTTTCTTACCGTGTTTCCCATTTTCTTCTCCCTTCCCAGGAAGAAAACAGGCAGATTTTGGCTCGGCAGAAGTCGAACTCGCAATCAGACTCCCATGATGAGGAAGTGTCACCGACCCCGCCCAACCCTGTGGTGAAGGCCCGCCGCCGGCGAGGGGGCGTGAGTGCGGAGGTGTACACAGAAGAAGATGCTGTCTCCTATGTCAGGAAGGTGAGGGTCCTGCAAAGCTCCCGTCCCCAGGCCTCAGTGCATGGCTCTCACCCATGAGATCCCCAGGAATCCCAAAGGGGGCCCTTGTTGTTCCTGAGGGCCTCAGTTTCCTTTCTGGTCAGACAGAGGAGCCACGTGTGCGATGGTGGATTGGAGTCCTCATCTCATTGAGCACATAAGCTGAGCACATATTTATGGGAGAGGCTTTTGTGTGGGGTCTCCGCATTCCCATAAGGCTTTAGGATTCTAGCAGGCTCAGGAGAGGGAAGGGGCTTGCCAGCGTCCATGGATGTCAGCATTAGAGCTGTCCCAGCCTGCGCAGTTCCCATTATCCTGCAAGTGCTCTGGTGTCTTCTTATAAGGGCAGTAATTCCATCAGGTCAGGTCCCCACCCTCATGACCTCAACTAAACTCAGCCACCTCCCCAAATCCAACACCTCCCGAAGGAGCCATCTCCAAATGACTGTCACATTGGTGGTTAGGGCTTCCATGTATGAATTTGAGGCGTGGGGGGACACAACTCAGTCCGTAGTGCCATCTTAACCATTTTTAAGGGTACGGCTGAATGGCATTAAGTACATTCCTGTTGTTCTGCAACCATCACCACCGTCCACCTCCAGACCTTCTTTCATTTTGCAAAACTGAAAATCTGCATCCAGTACACAACTCCCCACTGTGTGTGTGATTTTGAAATTTTTAAACAAGTGATTTTTATCTTTAAAAAGCCAGTGAAATAAATCAATAAAAGACACAGTAATCCAAGGACTGGAGGTCTTCTAGCATCTCCTAGAAGGCTCTGAAGCCCACCAGAGCCAGTCAACACAGACTCCAAGTTCTAGAAAGTACTTAAACTGCCCTCTGGGCTTCTCCAGGTTCCTCATCTTTTATTTATTTTTTAAATTTAAAAAAATCGTGGTGAATGGAATATTATTCAGCCTTAACAAAGGAGGAAATCCTGTTATTTGGCACAGACTCCAAGTTCTAGACAGTACTTAAACTGCCCTCTGGGCTTCTCCAGGTTCCTCATCTTTTATTTATTTTTTAAATTAAAAAAAATCGTGGTGAATGGAATATTATTCAGCCTTAACAAAGGAGGAAATCCTGTTATTTGCAACATGGATGAACCTAAAGGATATACATTAAATCAAATAAGCCAGGCCCAGAAAGACAAATACCACATGATCTCACTTATTTGTGAATCTAAAAAAGTTGAACTCATAGAAGCAGAGAGTAGAGTGGTGGTTACCGGAGGCTGTGGGTTAGGGAATGGGGAGTGGTTGATGAAAGGGTACAAAGTTTCATATAGACAGGAATAATAGGTTTTGAGATCTATAGCACAGCATGGTAACTATAGTCAATAACAATGTATTTCATTATTTCAGAATAAGAGTAAATTTCAAATGTATCACCATAAAAAATAATAGGTAAGTGGGGCGATGGATATGTTAATTAGCTTGATTAAATCATTCCACATTGTATACATTTATCAAAACATCACATTGTATCCCATAAATGTATGTGATTATGATTGGTCAATTAAAAATAATATTAATAAAAAATTGTGGTGAAATACACACAACATAAAATTTCAAGCTGTGTATTTTTACCAGCACCGACTATTGAACGTTGAATAGTTTGATTTCAAGTCATGTCACAGTATCTTAGGGCCAAGCAGGTGCCTGGAAATGCCAGCTCTTGCACCAGGACTGTTGCACCATCCCCTCCAGGGATGCTCGCAGTCTGATTTTCCTTGGCTTTCCCCTGCAGGTTATTCCCAAGGACTATAAGACCATGACGGCGCTGGCCAAAGCCATCTCCAAGAACGTGCTCTTTGCTCACCTTGATGACAATGAGAGAAGGTAGGAGCCATGCAGGGGACCGGCTCCCTCCCTCCGGGGGTCTTGAGAGAGGGTTTACCATTTCACTGAGTCATGGGCCTTGAATCATGGTGACGCTGGTTGCAGGAGGAGCGTGTCACAGCTTTCTGGGAATGTGGGTTCACAAAGCAGGGGGTGGCTTCCAGAAATACTGTGCTGCGTGTGTCCTGGTCTGGTCCCAGTGAGGCATCCCCTGTTCTGGCAGAGCCAGGCTGCCATTCTCAAATACTAGGTCTGGAGCCACAGTTCCCTGCACACTCAACCTTGTCACAGAGAGTCACAGGTGGTTCCTCCTGTTGCCCTGGTCACTGTGGGCTTAATGTTCCAACATCTTCTCTATGGGAGGTCATATCTTGTCCTTTTGAGCTCACCTCCTGGTGGGGAGGATGGGGCCAAAATGCATATACCATTGCTCCTACCTGTCCTAGGAGCTTGGGGGCCTGGGGCAGGAGGTGACAGTCAATGTGGTCTAAGAGGGTCTCAGGGAGTGGACAGAAGGAGGAAAGGTTATTCCAGGCAGAAGGACCTGTGAGTTGTGAAGGGCTCTGACACCATGCTTGGGAATGTTGATCATATAGAAAATAATTGGAAAAATTAGAAAATTTTGATAAGACAAAGAGTAAAAATGCCCCCCTGTCATCTGCCTCCCAGAGATAGTCCTTGGGAATATTAGAGAGCAATCCTTAAGGGTTTACTTTCTGCACATATCCTGGCTCTGTGTATTTTCACAGAATGGAATCTCATTCTACACACTTTTGTCACACTTAGGATGTCCTGAACATCTTGCCTTGTCAGTAAGGACGTTGTAGTGGTTTGTTTCATCAATTTCTATAGAGTTGCTGTGATTTAGCTGCTTTCCTACTATGTCTGTTTACATTTTGTATATTATAAATAACATTTTGATGACTATATTTCCATGTTCTTCTTTGACTCCTTGTGCATTTCTTTAAGATAAATTCCTTGATGTGGATCAAAGAATGTATAACATTTAAAAAATTTTTTGGCAAACTATAATTTTTCATTAAATAGGCGGAGCACATTTTGATACCACTCCTGTGCAAAATCCAAATGACTTACAAGTACTGTATATAAAATAAAAAAAGAAAGTCTTGACGTATTTATATGCATATCTGTACAAAACCACACATGGATATATTCTTCCGGTATACATCAGAGTGTACTAAACATATTGGTCTGTGATAGGCTACTTTCCTCGTAATGATAGGTCTAAAAGATCCTTCCGTGTAAGTAGAAATCTGAGTTTTGTGAGTATCTGCACAGTGTTCCATTGTAAGAATAAATCTGAGTTTGTTAACTTCCCAGCTTTGCAAGGTCATTTAGGAGGTTTTCCATTTCTTGATGTTACAATGTTTCAACGATTAGTAAACCACAGAATTTCTGCAGTAGAGAATCCCTGTAGTCGGGTTGCTGGGTCAGAGATAAACTGCTAAAGTCATGATGTGTGTTGGTGTCATGTTTTGAAAGGGCTTTTGATACATTTTGCTGGGCTGTGAACCAGGAAGGCTGGCAGGGGCAGTCCAGAGGAGTTGGGTTTAAGAGCCTTGGTTTTTTGACTACTCACATCAGCGTTGAAACCCCTACTTTGCCCTTAGTGCAGCTGACCCTGGGCAGTCTTTATGGGTCCAGGGTGCCCAGTGACCCCCTGAGTGGGAACAGTTGCTGCTTCTGTGATTGAGCAGTGGCTGGAGTAGCTGGAGGTGGCTGGAGTAGCTGGAGGTGGCTGGAGTAGCTGGAGGTGGCTGGAGTAGCCCTGTGTCAGGGCTGTGTGTTTGAATAGTCTTTGCTGTGTCTGTGACCGCCAGGACCACAGGCAGGCATAGCTGGGAGATGCTCGCCCCACGGCAGGCATGCAGGGGACTGGGGCACAGTGGGCGGGAGCAGGTGGTGTTCCGTCTGGGCCCACCCTGCAGCACACGCTGCCCTGGTTCTGTCTTCATTGTGGGAGCTCTGAAGAATCCATGTACAGGAAATGCTCGTAGGCTGCTATTGTTGAACCTGCTCTCCTTTTCAGTTGGGGTGACGGTCTTATGGCTGAATGTTTTTTTACAGTTGATTGGCCTCCTTGGAGGTTTCTGAGCAGGGCTGTGGCTTGAACTTCTGCTCAGGGAGAAGAACTTGGGCTCAGACTTAAAATATACTTTTCAGTCAGGTCCCCCCAACATGGGAGGCCAGTGGTGAGCTCCCATCCTGGAAGTATCTAGGCCCTAGGGAGGGGTGGTAGGTGGTAGCTCCCCAAAGATGCCCAGAACCTAATCTCTGGGACCTGAGACTCACCTGATATCACACAAAAGAACTTTAGTAGAGGTGATTACGTTGAGGATCTTCAGATAGGGAGATGATCCTGGGTTATCCAGGTGGACCCTAAAAGCCAATTGCATGTATCCTTTTAAGAAGGAGGTAGAGGGAGATTTGATACACATAGGAAGGGGGTGCCATGTGACCACAGATGCAGACACTGGAGTGATGAAGCCACAAGCCAAGGAAGGCTGACAGTCAATAGGAGCTGGAAGAGGCAGGAAGCATCCTCCCCTAGAGCCTCCGGAGAGAGTACAGCCCTGCGAAACCTTCATTTCCATCTACCGATATTGATTCTGGACATCTGGCCTTCAGAACTGTGAGAGAACTACTTTCTGTTGTTTTAAGCCCCCAGTTCATGCTACTTGGTTACGATAGCCCTGGGATACTCGTAAGGGAGGTGTCTACCTGGCAGCAGTGTCCCATGGCGAGGCAATTCTTGGTCACCAGCTGACTGAAGAATTGTGTCTATTTTAACTTGAATTTAAACATCAATTTACACTGTAATGTAAATTTAGTTTTTGAATGAGTGGTACATTCACACGGTTAAAAATTCAGAAGGTACAAAGGGGTCCAGAGTGAAAGGGTCTGCTGTCTGAGGTCTGCCGCAGGACTCTTGCTTGTCCCTGGGCTGGGCCTCCCTGGGTACCTGTGTGGCCCCTTTCTGCAGACAGACTCCCTGCCCTCAGGCAGGAGAACACCTGTTCCATTGCTGCCATCCATTCTTAGTGCAGTTCCATCCTAAGGGAAGGGGTAGTGATTGACCAGGCCTGGGTCTGTCCATTTGGGCCCTGCTAACTCCCTCTTTTGTGCCAGCTGGAAGGAGTCACCCCAGGTGGACAAAGCACTATGGGCACATGGTTGGATCTCATCTGTCCCAGCCACCATGCCTGACTTGCATAACTAACTACAGATGGCAAATGCAGGTCCAATCATGTATAGCCAGGAGGCAGGTCACAAGCCCATGACACCCTTGAATTGTGGGGAGAGGGTTCTTGGGCGAGGATGATCGTGATTTGGGCAGCCATCCCCAAAGTCAGATACTCTGCTTGAAAGATTTATTTCCATTCTCTGGTCCTCAGTTTCCTTATCCATTCCAGCAGGTGGCTGTTCTGCATTAAGCTCTTTTAGGAACAGACCAAAGAATGGGGGTTCAATGTGTGGGGGTGGGCATGTTATTATTTTTATTTACAGCAACAGAGATGATGATTATCCAAAGTTAACTTCTTTCTCTTACTCAGATATTCCCAGTTGTGAGAATAGTGCAGTGGGTTGAGCAGAATTTTGTACCTGAATCCAGTGTGGGGAGCTCAGCTCCTCCATGCAGTAGCTGGGCCACAGTACCCAGCTGTGCTGAGGCTCAGAGGGGCTAAGAGGAGACTTCAGCCCCAGGGCTGTGTCAGGACTCAGGGAAGTAATCGTATAGAGTGCTCAGCCCTGTGCCTGCCCTGCTTAGGACACCTGTTATTATTGCTGCCATTAGAAATCCATGCGGTGCCCAGTTACATATCTAGTGCTCATTCCTGAACTGATAAAATCAATCACGGAGAATAATGGTATCTAACAGACCAAATACACCCCGCAGTTTATGTTTTCAGTTCAACAGAATTCCGGACAGCAGATATTTAAGGAGCATTTATTGTGTGCCAGTCTCTGTGCTGGGTGCTGGGAACAGAGTAGAGGGAAAACAAGTTTCCTGCCTTTGTGGGGCCGGCCTTGCAGGGGATGAGGCAGCCAGCAATCAAGCAAACCTTTAAATATATTTAAAGATTGTGTGCTGTGAAGGAACTTGAGAGGGGCCTGTACATTATAAAATGGGATGACTTTACTCAGGGTGGGCAGAAAGGTGACATTTTAGGTGAGACTAGAGAATAGGGAGCCTGCAAGTTCTTTCCAGGCCATGGCACAGCAGGAGCAAAGGTCGTGAGGCAGGAGAAAATTTGGTGAGCTTCTGGGAGGGACAGCTTTATTCACTATAGCAAGGGCCGGTTGTGCACCTGCTGTGTACAGTGTGCTGGAGTCACAGGGAACAAGACATTGCTCGGGGTGTAGGAGAGACCTGGAAATCTCAGCATTGTTCTGAGAATCTACTACGTGTCTTTGCATTTCTAAGGATGGTGCCTCTTCAGAGCTCCCACTTTTCTGTTCAGCTCGTTCTTGTGGAAATGGCCGTGGAGAGGAGCAAATGCTTGGGAACCTGAGAGCATCCTGAGGTTTTTCCCTCCAGAGGCAGCCACATGAGCTAAGACCATGACTTGTGCTCATCACAGGTCTGGCTCTGGCGAGCTGACAGCTATGCCCTTCTTCAGAATCTGAATTCAAGACACGAGCTCAGCGAAGGTTAGTAGAGGGACTGAGAAGCTGTGGGTTCAGAGCCCTTTATAACCACCCAGGTTCTCTGCCTGAGGAAGATAAATGGTCACTTCGGTTCCTGACCCAGTTATCAGACAGAAGTCATATAAGCTAACTCTCTGTTTCCACTTCTTTTGGACATTTGATAAGCCTGGTGTTACCGAAAGCACCATCGTCAGGAAAGCTCCTGGGTTAGGAAGACCTAGGACATGCCACAGTAACCAGTATCCTGGTGGCTCATTCATGTCCACTGCTGCTGAGCCCCCTGTAGGGCACTGGTGCCTGGTGGCAGCTCAGAGACCCAGGCCACTTGG